TGCATTTCTCTTTCCCCACAGTTTTTTATCCCATTCCCCACTCCCCCCCCCCTTTTTTGTGCAACATTTCAAACAGAAATAAGTAGAGTGGTTAGATAATAACCATCTTTGTGATTCTCCCTCTCTAATTTTCCAATGTTTCTTTATTAGTCTTTATTTCCATTGTTTCCTGTAGATGATCTAAAAGCTTTATCATAATTCATATTGTATCACATCAAATGACACGTTACCTAATTGTTGCTATGATTACTAAGTAGCAATTAATTTAGTCCCAGAATTAGCATGGTAAGAGCCAATCCCTCCATTGTAAATTAGTAATATAACTTGTGATAGGCAAGAACTTTGTGGGCAGATACTTTGGTACTATGCAATATCCAGATTGTCCTCATCCCACCACTCATCTCTCCTCAGTTGTCTTTTTGAGGGATGATTGTTAACAAGTTTTAATTCTTTTATTTCATCTACTTTTACTTTCTGCCATTCTTCTTAAAAAACAAAATAAAACAAAACAAAACAAAACCTTCCCCCATTAACCAGTGTTTACTTGGTTACCCTGAAATACAGTTCCTACTGGAGGGGAGGCAAGAGAAATGTTTATTTCTCTTTAATTTTCCATTTTCATCTTATGGGTTGTTGGTGATAAATGAATTGTTGCTGTTATTCATGGTGATGGTTTTGCTATTTTGCTTTTTCATTTGAGTATCAGTATTTGTGATTTTAAAATTTTCTTGTGTTTCGGTGAATTGCAGTCATTATTCTTTTCGATGTTTAAATTGTCCCATATTTGGCCAGTGGGAATCCCTGATTGCTGTGTAATATTGACATGACCTCATTAGTCTTTTAAAAGCTTGCTTGTTTTCTGACACAACATTCCTTTCCAAGTCCAGGAATCAGCATTTCCCCATGGAGACCTTTTCTAAAAAAATGTTTTAGTTAGTGGGAATAGTACTTAGAGACCAAGTCTGGGTACTATACATGCTCATTGTTATTCGGTTACTATTGCTTCTTAATATTTTCAGTGGAATGAGGTTGAAAATATAGATATATATGTACGTGTGTGTGTGTTTAAATGACAAGATCATGTTAATTCTTACATTTGACAATTTTTCTAAACTCTAAATTTTAGAATATATTATTTTAAATTGACAGAAAAGCTGCAAAGACAGTACAGAGTTCAGGAATACTCCTAACTCATTTGACCCCATTGTTAACATTGTACATGATCATGGTACAATTGCAACAATTAACTAATGTTGGTGTGTTATTATGAAGTAAACTATGAACTTTATTTGGATTTCACTGGATTTTCTAGTAATATCCCTTTTAAGATACCACATTACATTTAATCTTCATGCCAATTTTTTTTCTGCGTTATGATAATATCTCAGTCTAATTTTTCATGACCTGGGCTGTTTTAAAAAGTATGGATTAGTTATTTTGTACAATGCCGCTTGAATTTTTTTTTCCTGTCTTTCCTCATGGTGAGACTGGTGCTGTGTACTTTGGGGACAGATGTCATAGAGGTAACGGGCCCTATTTAGTGTGTGTCAGGGTACATACAATCATGTTTTTTAAGGTTTCTCCAAAGTAATTACTTTTTATTCCTGTTTCTATATGCTCTTCTTTGGAAGCCAAGTTAGTAAAGGATTTCATACTGGAGTGAGTGTAAAAATTAAGCTTCACTTCCTGGGGGTGATAGTATTTAGATCAAGTACTTGGGGTTCTTCTGTAAGGAAAAAGCATGTCTTACCTACTTGTCTCATCACTTATAGCTACCAGTATCATCTACTTGCTATTCAATGTGTACCTTGGGTTATAAGTAAACACTTTGCTGTTTGTTTTGTTGCTCACATTGTCCCATCCATGGCTATTGGGAGCTCTTTTACTGTTCATTTCTCTGATGTGCCTTTTTTCCACCCAAGAGTGTTTTCTTTCTTTTTGGTACTCAAGGGTTTGTAGGATGCTCCCAGTTCTTTTTGTGTTTTCCCTGCTCAGTCTTAGAATCAGTTACATTTCCTAGAAGAACAATACTGTGAGATCCAAGTCTGTTTGTGTGGTTCCGGTGGCATTGCTGCTTCCATCCCTTGTTTCCGTATATCCATTTGCATGGGTCCTAAGCTAAGCGTGAGTTTATGCTGGTATCTCTGATTCCAAGCCAGTGTGTTAGTTCAGTCTAGCTTTTCCCTCCTCATCCCTCCTTGGAAACTTCACCTTCTAATAGTGAACAACC